TGTTTGGTTTTTTTTGTTGTTGTTTCCTTTTCCCCAATCAAGGAAAAGAGATATGGAAAAGTGATATTTGCCTTGAATTTGGGGTGTGTTTTCTTTTCTCCCAACAGCATTTGATAAGGGTGTGCCTTTCTAGTTTCAAGTTTTCTGGTGAGGTGTGCTTTTATTCAGATAGTTTTTTTCTATACAGACAAGGTGTAATTTCTCTCAGCTGCTTTCAAATTCTAGTTGTTTTCAAACATTTAATGTGAGTCTGTGTAAATTGCTTTGAGTTTCTACTGCATCAAGTTGGCTCACTTCTGCAGTCTGTTAGATAAATGTCTTTGGTAAGCAACAGAACTTCTCAGCTACTTTTCCTATGAATATTTTGTTTCACTCTTCTTTTTCCTTCTGCAACTCCAAAGACATAAATGTTAGATCTTGTATCGTAGTCCCCAGGTTTTTGGAGAATGCACTTTGTTGTGTGTTTGTTGGGGAGGGGGTGAGTTTATACTTTATATATCTTTTATCCTTATGTTTGCAGTTTTTTGTTTGTTTTTGTTTTGTTTTACTTTCCCCTCAGTTCCACTATTAAGCCCATCTGTTGAATTTCTATGTTGGTTATTTTACCTTTTGGGTCTAAAATTTCAATCAGTTCTTTATGACTTCATTTCTTACTGGGAATATCACATTCCTGGCCCTTCCTAGAACCCTCTGAGCTGCCCCACCTTCCCCTTTCTGCCTACTCTGACACCATGAAGTGGGAGGCACAAGGAGGATGGATGGCATTGAGTGCCCATTGCAAACTGGTGAGGCTAGAAGTCTAGGCACCCAGCTTGCCCTCTGCCAGAACTGATAGGGGAATGGCTGCCAGTTTTCGCGGAGAGTCTGATAAAACAGCATGGTTAGTATATAAACATGTCTGTCTTCCTGAGCTGCTTCTTTCCTTATGTGCACCTTGACTAGAGAGAGGTTTTGAATAGCTGATATTTCTTATCTAGGGGAATTTTGCCTGTGCCTGTTGCATCTCTGCCACCTGCTCCTTTCTTACAAATTAGGTTTTGTGTGTTTGAGACAACAGGAAATCTAGAAACTCAGCTGTAGTATTCAGTGACTCCCAAAACCCTGAGCCATTCTGCTGCCCTTTTCCTGACACTGAAAAGTCAGCTTGTGCTCACTTATGTATTATGTCCAGAGTTTTTAGTCGACAGGAAAGTACATCAGCTCCATCTCTTGGAAGGGTTTGCTGGGTTTTGGTTTGATTTTTTTTCCTTTTTTAATCTTTCTGATTTTCCCAGTATCTCTGCCATGATAAACTTCAGTTACCTTGTTTTAGAAAACTTTAAAGTAAGATCAGTCAACCAGTCACTAGATGCCATGCAACAAAACTTTAACATGATTCACTTAATTTTATTCAAGTATAGTAAAAAGAGCTTGTATTTTGGCATGAGTTTTTCAAAAGCATTACATTAAAATGGATATCAAAGTTTTATTCCCAGTGCATCCTAATGATAATAATAGTCTTAGAATTATTTTAATTTTAAAGTAACTATAATTGTTAATGATTTCACCAATTGTAGGTAAGGTCTATATTTATTTCAGATCAAATTAAAATACACAGTCAGCAAAGTTTTAGTAGGTAAAATTTCCAGCATAGTATCCTGTTATCTTATTTTTATAATGAAAATAGTGTGTATTTTAAAAGTCTTACTGTAGATTAGATACTGTCATCAGTTAAGGATCTGATTTTGTTTTCTTTGGTCGGGAGTCTACCCTAAAGTAGGCTTTATTTCTAAGGCTGTATTCCTTGTTATTTTATTAGCCAATTCTTTGTTTTCTCTCTTAAATAACCTTTACAATAAGGCCAACCTAGTTTTCTAGAGCAAACCTTCACAGACTGTGGAATACTCCAAAAGAGAAAGTCTGCACAGAGTAGAAGGCTCTTCCTTCCTGGCTTGAGGGACCTTGCCTTACAACAGGCTGAAGCTAAAGTAAAGACAAATTAAAGCTTATGGTCTGGAGACCTGCTTATCAGTGAGCTGGAGTTATTGGGAGAGTGGGAAGGAGATCTTCCAGGTGTCATATCTACTTCCCTTTGTCTTTTACTCCTACTGTTAATCCTACCAATTGAGATAAGACCACTACCACAGTTTAAAGCCAACTTTGAAGCTAGCTTTAATTAAATACTGTCTAGGTAGATGGGCTCTGACCAGCTCCACACTCAGGTTCCCGGGAAATGGCCCAGAATCAAATATGGCAAGGGCTTAAGAAGGAAAACCCATTATTTCATTGCCTTTTCCATCAGGTCCAGTCAGGACATGCATATATGCTGACATATTTTCTGCCTGTGTACTTCCTGCCCACATGTGATCTAGCACATCCTGTGCAGATGGGTCAAGTTTGTATAGAGGAGTGAAAACATGTGGCTTGTTATCTTCCATAAACAATAGCCTCTAGCATTTCAGGAACTGTCTGTCCTTGGACAAGGGGTTTGCAGATCAGAGGTATTTTTGTTTCACAGATCTTCAAGGCACAGTAATTTAGACTTAAAATGTAACTTGGGCTCTCACACTGCATGAGTGGCCTGTTTATCCCTCACCTATCAGCTACCTTCTCTCTCATACTAAGGTTTACTGCTGACCTCCACCTATGGGCAACTTTCAGGTCACGATCAGCAGGCCTTTCCTGTCTATTTAGAGAAAATAATGGCCTCTCTTTCCCATACTATAGCCTGGTGTTATATATGACAATGTTTTTTCCCTCTAATGAAGAATGTAAAACATGCAGGTCTATTGTTAAAGTTAAATAGTTACATGTAACTATTAGCTATTAAAAACAGGTCAATTACTGGTATTCACAGATTAACTTGGGCAGTGATATATTAGAGTCATTTGATGGGGAGGTCCTTCTGTATGCTGTTAATATATGTTTCCTTTTTTGGTTGACGAATAAAACACTGATTGACCAAAAGCCAGGCAGTATGTATAGGTGGGGCTACCACACAGAGAGAATGCTGGGAAAAGAAAGGCAGAGAGGAGCCTCTAGCGAGACACCATGTAGCAACTGAAGGAGTAATAGGTCTGGGCATTCTCTGATAAGATAAGATAGTGTAGAAATACATAGATAAATAGTTGTGGGTTAACAATTAAGAGAGTGCTAGCCAGTAAGAAGCCTAAGCCATCGGCCAACATGGGGCTCAAATCCATGACCCTGACATTAAGAGTCTCATGTTATATCAACTGAGCTAACCGTCATTGTGTGAAGCCTCTACTTTACTCTTAAGGGTTTCTTTCCAGACATCTGATTTTGGTCATCAGACCATGTTCTATATGAACTACAATTTTTGTGCTTAAAAAGGAAAATTTGCATCACTTGGTGAGTTACTTGCAGTCTGATCCGTAATACCCACCTTAAAAAAAAAAGCCCAGGCATGGTTGCATGCATACTGTAATTCCAGAACTAAGTAAGTGGAAATAGGAAAAACTGTGGGGCTTGCTGATCAGCCTTGGGAGTCCTAGTCCTGAGAGAAAAAGTGCCAAAACAACAACAAAAAGGTGAATGATTTGTGTGGAACAATATTGAAACGGGCTTCTGGCCACTGCATGCATATATATATACACACCAAAATGGGGCAGAATTGAGTATTTGCTACTGCTAACACATGGGGATTGAGTAATTTGAGTTGAATTTTCTTTCTTTTGCCAAAAGTCTGGGAGATGGACTCTTTGATTCTGAGACTCATAATGATGAACCCTTTACATATGAAATCAGTTTATCTAGAGGCAAAGAATGAACAATAATGGTGTGTGTCAGATGGTCTTTATACTGTCCCATCCTTGCCAGCACCTCCAAGCATTGTATTCTTCACTATTTCAGTAGAAGGATTATATTATTAGTATTTTAAAATAATATATAATTAATGTGCATTTTAAATTTTTGCCAATTTAGCACATATATTATTCATACATATCTAGTATTTGTGTGCTTTTTTTTTTTTTAACGAGACAGGGTTTCTCTGTATTGTTTTGGAGGCTGTCGGTCCAGCCCGACCTCGAACTCACAGAAATCCGCCTGCCTCTGCCTCCTGAGTGCTGGGATTAAAGGCGTGCGCCACCACCGCCCGGCTTGTGTGTGTGTGTGTTTTTAATAGTATTAGCTGATTTGTATGTGGGCTGGGGCAGTAAATTAATGCCCATGTGGAAGACTGAGGTCAACATGGGGTGTCTTCCTTTATTGCTCTCCCCTTTAGCCTTTAAGGCAAAGAAACTAGATGAATTAAAAAAAGAAATAAAAAAGGTAAAAAAGGAAGGACATGACTGCTTCTAGGTATGGTGGAATAGGAAGTTTACTGTAGATAAAAGAGAGCATAGAGGTAGAGATCTGGGAGAGTCCAGAGTGAACATGGCCATGAGCAGGACATGTGAGGAGAGGAGAGAGGGGAAAGACAAAAAATCAGGAGAGTAAAGCATAGACAAAAGGGTCAGGTAGCCAACATGTCTGGATTGTATAGGGAACAGCCTCTAGGGGAAGGCAGCCCAGCTCCTGGACTGGAGAGTTCAGGGTAGAGGATGGGGTATGCCAGCCATACCCTGTAATAGGTAGGGACTGAGGGAAGCTGGGAGAATCTGGTGGCCGGGTTCTCTGATATATTGAATAAATGTTAGTCATTTATTCCAGGTTTGAGAACTAACACTGAGGTTTATCTATTAGCTGGACTGGTTAGCCTTTGGGAACCTGGAATCTTCCAGTCTTGACCCCCAGCACTGGGATTACAACCACATTTGGCTTTTTACACGGGTGCTGGGGATCTGCACTCAGGTCCTCATCTTTGCTTGGGAAGCACTTAATCCACTTGGCCACCTCCCTAGTTCCTGGTGTCTGTTTTTTTAAAGCACTAGTACCTTTTTTAATCCTATGCAATTTTTTTTTGTGATTCTGTTCTTTGTACATCCATTTTAAAATTTCTCAAATTAAAAATTTTAGGGATATTGTGCTTTTTCTTATAAGTTCTCTTCCTTTTGCAGCATCAGCCACTATGTTATTGTCATGTCCATGACCATCTTTCTGGTATTTCTTAATGGCCTGGCACAACTGCTCACAACAAAGAAACTCCAACTATGTGGCAAACCCAAAATCCATCTCCTGTGATGTTGGTGAAGCCATCAGTCAGCATCTGCATCTTGATTCTCCTTAAAGAAAAATCCCACCAAGGATCCAAGAAGATGGATAAAAGTGCTTGTTGTACAAGGCTGACAACTTGAGCTCGATCCCTGGAATCCATGGTGAAAGGAGAAAACAAACTCTCAGAAGTTGTCCTTTGGGCACCTTTAATCCCAGCACTCGGGAGGCAGAGGCAGGCGGATCTCTGTGAGTTCGGGGCCAGGCTGGACCGACAGCTTCCGAAACAGAAACCCTGTCTCATAAAACCAAAAAAAAAAAAAAAAAAAAGAAGTTGTCCTTTGGGCTCCATGTGCATAACACACACACACATACGCACAGTAACACTGCATCTCCATCTATAAAAGAAGATGGATGTTAATGCATATTCTCCTTTAGAGACTGTTTCATCTGGAATTCTGGATTTATAGGTGGTCTGACATAATGGAGCTTCCTTTTCCTTTCAGTTAATACATAGGATAACAGGTTTCTTTATGACGTTTCCAAGAAGCTTCTTTTCTATTTAGGTTTTGCAGGCTTGAAATGATGATTATATCTTAGAACAGAATAAAGCATCCTTCGTTTTTATTTTATCTGGCAGATTTTTCACAGTAATGTTTGAGAATACCTGCCACCCTTTATGCCTCATAATGCAGCTTCATGGTCATCCATGGGAGCCCGTGCCCCTGTGGGGGACAGTACTGACACTCTCAAAGTCATCACTCTGGAGGGACTGCTGCTTTTGTAGTAGTTCTGACTGCTCCAGCTTGTGATGTGTAAGACAGGCGGGCTGCAATCTGGGACTTTCTGAACCTCACTGGGAAGCTGTCTGCCAAGCTTTGTCATTTCTGTGTCCACAGTATGCTGGCTTGTGCCCCTCTGTGCTGCTTCTAGGGTTCTCATAGCCAAACAGCTAGATGAAGTTTCCACCTTTACCTTCTGTCCATTTCTGGTCATCTTAGAATTTCTGGGGACTCTGGCTCTTTTGGTTATTGTTTCAACCTCATTCCCCAAATCAAAGGCTTTAGTTTCCTAATAATATCATAAAGACTTAAATTAAAATTGCTACTCTTTTGGTCTTGATATTTTAGTTAGACCAAAGACCTATAACCATATAACCATATAAACTAGATTTAGCTTTCCTTTTGTATATTCCAATGAATGAGATAATTTGAGAGTAATTTTAATTTGGGTTTTCCATACAGTGACTATATATAGTATAGAGTTGCCTATAGAATGATGTTTAGTACTTGACTTATGTTTTGCTGGTATGTATCCCATTTTAAAACAAAACAATTGCTTTTTATTCAAGTTATACTATGACTAGTCTGTATTAGTGACCAGAAAGTTCTTTGCACATTACTAAATGTTTTTAAATTGTCAGGTGAGGAAACATAATCTAGGAGAGTAAGCTCAGATGAGCAAAATATACTTCAATTTCTACTTATGATAAAGTCATAATTTATTTGTGATTGTGCCTCCTGATTTGGCAGTGAACACGTTATAGTGTATTGAGAAAAGCGCTGCTCCTTGTACTGGCCTCAGCACCACTGTGTAACAGTCTAGGTGGCAGCTAAGGAGCTGCTGCAGCAGTGCTAACATTGGCAGAACAAGGACCCCGCTGCCTTCCTAGACCCTCAGGTAGCTTCTCATCCCACTATGTAAACACCATTTACCTTTGTGCAATTTGATTTGCATTCCTCCTCTACAGAGGCATTAATTCATTGTTAAAGGTTTAAGTGTGTGTGTGCGTGTGCATGCATGCATGCACATGTGAGCACAGGTTGTTAGATCCCTGAAGCTGTAGTTGAAGGTTGTGAGATGCCTGATATGGGTGCTGGGAACCAAAGTCAGGTCCTTTGCAGGAATAGGGTTTTTTGTTTGTTTGTTTTTTGTTTTTTATTTTTTAATATTTTTATCTTATTTAACTTTTTACACATATTACTCTCAGTCCCTTTCCCATCCCTCCTCCCCCAGCCCTCCCATTCCTCCCAACCCCCAAGCCACTCCATCTCCCGACATCTCTCTTAACTCCAGAGTTAATATTTTTGTAAAGCACTGTAAAAGGTGCTTCCTGTCTTATGTCTCTTTTTCATTATGTACTTACCTCTGGGTTGGCTCTAGCTTTCCCTGCTGCATTGATTAAATTAGGAAAAGCTTTTAGAAAGTGGGAATAAACGGGGCATGGTGGCAGATATTTGTAATCCCAGCATTAGGGAGGTATAGGAAGGAGATCATAAGTTCAAGGACATAGAAAATTAGACACCAGCCTAGTCTGTAAAACCCTGTGTTGAAAAGAATTAAAGTTAGCATCTCAAATTGAAAAAAAATTAGAATATTGAATGACAGAGAAAAAAGATACTATGTTACATGAATCATGACTAAATCTTGGATACTAATTTAACAAATTTGTTGTATTTTACTATTTAGTGTATAAAGTCTTAGAATGCAAAATTCTTTCTTGCATTTTAGAAAAATTATATTACAAACGGTGTGGTGGCACAGGCCTCTGTATAATCACAGTGTTGTGGAAGCTGAGGCTGAGGATCACATGTTCAAGGTCAGCGTAGGTCGCATAGCAAGTCCAGGGCAGCATACATTATGTGAGACCCTGTGTTAGGAAACAATGAAGTGGTGGTGGGGGGACTGTTGTACTATAAATGACTGTATGCGAAGGATGATGTAACCCTCTAGTCAGTGACAGAACTGAACTGGAAAGTGGCTCATCAGTTACAGTGCAGCTTCTCATGAAAACCTCATTCCAGATTTCAGGCTACTCACAGCAGCCCTCCTCCTGCTACATACTGTCAGCAGTAAAGGGTTTCTTTGTTCCTCCTTTTGAAACTACTTTTTGATGCTACTAGTTCAGTGGGTAGTGAAGGGTTGCATAGTCCTGCCTCTAGAGACAGGCAGCAGCTGTGTCCCCTCTCCAGGTGGAAGCCATGTGAGCTCCATATATCCTTAGATGGAGCTCACATTAGGAGTCTGGAGAGAATAAACCAAGTCAGTAATGGAGAGGACCCCCATCTGATTAATGCTCAGGCCCTTTAAGAGGCCAGAGGCAGCCTGGCTGACATCTCTCCTTTCCTCAATAGTTCTTTATGTCAGCAGTGCCCTCATCACATCTAAATGTTTCAGAGTGTTCATGCTCATTATACTACATGCTCTCAGTACTCTGGTAATTTCTTCGTAGCATTTCCTATTTCTGCACTGGTGTAGTTTATAAAAATGGATTTCTGAATGTAATTCTATAAAGAAACAAAATTTTCTCAAGTTTATTAAAATGGATTAGGTTATTGGTGGACTTACCTTTAGAATCATAGTATTTATGTGTACAAACAGCATATTGAAGATAATTTCAAAGCATCAGTTGTTGGTGAATAAATACATGATCATAAAAGGGTTCCCTGATGAAGTGTTTGGGAAACATCTAGTTTAGAAAGGTTTAAAAGTGCATTTATTCTGGTAGTCAATGAAGTTCATTCCTGTAGAATGCCCATGCCCACAACTGCCACATGCTTGCTGCAGACCCCCCCCATGGGTAATCATATTGTACAAATATCTTCATGTAGTTTTCCACACAATTTTCACAAAAGGGTGTTGTACATTTAATTGAATTTTTTCCCTTGCAACTGGCAAAGTATATTTATTATAATTGTTAAACTGGGAAAGCTTCAGAACATCCTGGGGATTTTTCCTACATATCACTGTCTGTCCCTTTTGCATCCTCAACTGAAAAACATAGTCACAACTCTCAGCTTGTTTTCTTGTGATCCAACACTTTCGAAAGCATTACTTTGGTCAAAAACTGTGAGAACAAGATCAAGGCAGCCCAGGTCCCAGCATGGGTGGCAGAGGGGATCATGCAGTTCCACCCCTTTCTAAGGCCCTTTTGACAAAATATGGCTGCACAGAGGGGGGCAGTCTGCTTATGTTCCTGTAAATGGTCCTACACCCATGGACATACAGGTACCACTAGTGGATGTATTTTTTAAAAAGGAGCTCATGAAGATGGAAGAGAAAAGTAGTAAGGGGGTAGATGTTATATTTGATCAAAACATTATATGCATATATGAATAGTAAAATACTTTAAAAGAACAAAAATAATGAAAATATCAGTTATAAAGAATTCTTATAATTGCTAAAATTTTTAACATTACTCTTAGATGAACAGGTAATTTCTTTTCATGCAATGATTTAATTAGGTTGGCCTGCTTTCTATATCGGCAAGTAGCAATGATTCCATGATGTTTCTTTGGGTACCTGGTCTGATTATATAGCCAAAATTGGCCTCAGAGTTGTGATCTTTGTGCCTTGGTTCTGAGTGATAGCATTTCAGATATGTGCCATCATGCCATTTAAGTTGGTTTTTGTCTAATATAGTCAGTGGACTTGGAAAATGTGATTTACAAGGATACTAGTCAACCCTTACAGATGCTTTTACCTTCAATGCGTTAATATTACTAAGATAGAGATCAGCCCCTCCAAGACCCCAACCCAGCGAGCCCAGCTTTAGGTGAGATTGGGTCTCTGGCTGGGACCACCCGCCCATCACCCATCCCCCTCCATCTTCGGGGCCGCTCCCAGCTTCCAGAAGAACCGCCCACACAGGCTCCTCCAAGACCCCAACCCAGCGAGCCCAGCTTCAGGTGAGATTGGGTCTCTGGCTGGGACCACCCGCCCATCACCCATCCCCCTCCATCTTCGGGGCCGCTCCCGGCTTCCAGAAGAACCGCCCACACAGGCTCCTCCAAGACCCCAACCCAGCGAGCCCAGCTTCAGGTGAGATTGGGTCTCTGGCTGGGACCACCCGCCCATCACCCATCCCCCTCCATCTTTGGGGCCGCTCCCGGCTTCCAGAAGAGCCGCCCACACAGGAAAGAGATCAGCCCCTCCAAGACTCCAACCCAGCGAGCCCAGCTTCAGAAGAGCCGCCCACACAGGAAAGAGATTAGCCCCTCCAAGACCCCAACCCAGCGAGCCCAGCTTCAGAAAAGAGATCAGCCCCTCCAAGACCCCAACCCCAGCGAGGCCAGCTTCAGCTTCAGCTGCAGTAAGGAAGGAGACCAGTGGAGACAGAAAGCCCCCACCAGCACCCACTGGAAGAAGAGATGGGAAGAAGACAGAATAAGAGATCACTCAGCAATAGAAACACCAACATGACCCCACCAGAATCCAGGGATCCAACACCAGCAAGACCTGAAAAGCACTACATAGATGAAGAAGAGGAGACAGACCTTAAAAATTATTTCATGAAGATGATGGAGAGCCTCAAAGAAGAAACGAGGAAATCCCTTAAAGAAATAGAAGAAAAAACAAACAAAAAAATCCATGAAATGGGGGAAAAATTCAAGAAATAAACAAATCTCTCAAAGAATCTAAAGAGCACCAAGAAAAAACAACCAAGAAAATTAAGGAAACAGCTCAAACAGTTGAAGGATTGAAAGCTGAAATAGAAACGATAAAGAAAACACAGAATGAAGGGATGCTGGAAATAGAAAAGCTCGGTAAACGGTCTGGAATTACAGATGCAAGCATCACCAATAGAATACAAGAGATAGAAGAGAGAATCTCAGGTGTTGAAGACTCATTAGAGGACATAGCATCGTCAACCAAAGAAAATCTCAAAACCAACAAATCCTTAACACAAAATATTCAGGAAATATGGGACACCGTGAAGAAGCCAAACCTGAGAATAATAGGTATAGAAGAAGGTGAAGAACTTCAACTTAAAGGTACAGAAAACATATTCAACAAAATCATAGAAGACAACTTCCCTAACCTAAAGAAAGATATGCCTATGAAAGTACAAGAATGTTACAGAACACCAAATAGGCTTGACCAGAAAAAGAAGTCACCTCGCCATATAATAATCAAAACATCAAACCTACAGAGCAAAGAGAAAATATTAAGAGCAGCTAAAGAAAAAGGCCAAGTAACATATAAAGGCAGACCTATCCGAATTACACCTGACTTCTCAATGGAAACGATGAAAGCCAGAAGATCCTGGTCAGATGTCCTACAAACGCTAAGGGAACAAGGATGCCAGCCCAGACTACTATATCCAGCAAAGCTCTCAATTACCATAGATGGAGAAAACAAAATATTCCATGACAAAGCCAGATTTAAACAATACGTATCCATGAATCCAGCTCTACAGAAAATGCTAGAAGGAAAACCTAGAGCCAAGGAAGATAACTACATTCACAAAGACGCAGGCAATATAGAATCATACTTTACAAAACACTAAAAGAAAAAGGGAGGAGAAACTACACAAAATAACCTCACTAACAATAAATCAAGCGCAAACAAGGATCACCAATCAATGGTCATTAATATCCCTCAATGTCAATGGCCTCAACTTACCTATAAAAAGACACAGACTAGCAGAATGGATACGAAGACAGAACCCTTCCTTCTGCTGCATACAAGAAACACATCTCAACACCAAAGACAGACGTTATCTCAGAGTAAAGGGCTGGGAAAAGATCTTCCAATCAAACGGCCCCAAGAAACAAGCGGGCGTAGCAATCCTAATATCTAACAAATTAGGCTTCAAATTAAAATCAATCAAAAGAGATGAAGAAGGGCACTTCATATTCATCAAAGGAAAAATACATCAAGACGAAGTCTCGATTTTAAACATCTACGCCCCAAATACAAAGGCACCTACATTCGTGAAAGAAACATTACTAAAGCTCAAAATGCACATAAAATCTCACACACTAATAGTAGGAGACTTCAACACTCCGCTCTCACCGCTAGATAGGACCTCCAGACAGAAACTTAACAAAGAAACAAAAGAACTAATAGAAGTTATGACCCAACTGGGTTTAACAGACATCTATAGAACATTCCACCCAAATACAAAGGGATATACCTTCTTCTCGGCACCACATGGAACCTTCTCTAAAATTGACCACATAATAGGAAACATAGCAAATCTCCACAGATACAAAAAAATTGGAATAACCCCTGCATCTTATCAGACCACCATGCATTAACATTAGAATTCAACAATAACACAAATCGCAGAAACCCTACAAACTCATGGAGATTGAACAATGCACAATTGCACCATCCCTGAGTAAAGGAACAAATAAAAAAGAAATTAAAGACTTCCTCGATTTCAATGAGAATGAAGACACAACATACACAAACTTATGGGACACTTTGAAAGCAGTGCTGAGAGGAAAGTTTATAGCACTAAGTGCCCACATGAAAAAACTGGAGAACAGTCATACTAGAGAATTAATAGCACAGCTGAATGTTCTAGAACAAAAAGAAGCAAACTCCCCAGGAGGAGCAGACGCCAGGAAATAATCAAATTGAGGGCTGAAATCAATCAAGTAGAAACCAGGAAAACATTGAGAAGAATCAATGAAACAAAGAGTTGGTTCTTTGAGAAAATCAACAAAATAGACAAACCTCTGTCCAAACTAACCAAAAGACAGAGAGAGAACATGCTAATTAACAAAATCAGGGATGAGAAAGGGGACATAACAACGGACTCTGAGGAAATCAAGAGAATCATCAGGGCATACTTTGAAAATCTGTACTCCAAAAATTTTGAAAATTTAAAGGAAATGGACAATTTCCTGGATAGATATCACTTGCCAAAACTAAATCAAGAACAGATAAATAATCTAAACAGACCTATAACCACTAATGAAATAGAAGCAGTCATCAAAAGTCTCCCAAACAAAAAAAGCCCAGGCCCAGATGGCTTCAGTGCAGGATTCTACCAGAAATTCAAAGAAGAGCTCATTCCAATACTCGTCAAAGTATTCCACACTATAGAAGCAGGAGGCTCACTGCCAAACTCTTTCTACGAGGCTACAATTACCTTGATACCCAAGCCACACAAAGACACAACTAAGAAAGAGAACTATAGACCAATTTCCCTCATGAACATTGATGCAAAAATACTCAATAAAATACTTGCAAACCGGATTCAAGAACACATCAGAAAAATCATCCACCATGATCAAGTAGGCTTCATTCCAGGAATGCAGGGATGGTTCAACATTAGAAAATCTATCAATGTAATCCACCATATTAACAATCTGCGAAAGAAAAACCACATGATCATCTCACTAGATGCTGAAAAAGCCTTTGACAAAATCCAGCACCCCTTCATGATAAAGGTCCTAGAGAGATCAGGGATAACAGGAACGTACCTGAATATAATAAAAGCAATATACAGTAAACCAACAGCTAACATCAAACTAAATGGAGAGAAACTCAAAGCAATTCCTCTAAAATCAGGAACAAGACAAGGCTGTCCACTCTCTCCATATCTCTTCAATATTGTACTTGAAGTTCTAGCTACAGCAATAAGACAACAAAAGCAGATAAAGGGGATACAAATAGGAAAAGAAGAAGTCAAACTTTCATTAT